CGTTTACGATTACTTTTTAACTTGTTTTGTTTTGTTTGAACGCTTTGCCTTTTCTTCTTCTTTTTCGTAAAATTTGAAATGCCTTTGTCATTTCTTAAAAATTGCGTAAGTTTGCAACGTATATAATGTGGAATCCAAGATTTCGGCTTTAGCTATTCAAAACTTACTTATACTAGTTTTTATTTGTAATAATAATAATAGTCATAAATTGGCCCGATTCCCAGTTTTACAAATTCAACTTATTCGATTGATTGTGTATTTTTAGGAACGCCTATAACTAACTACATAGTTTCTAAAAACTCATTTTGGCTTAAACCATCTGGAAAGTCATCAAAGGTCAGTCCAAAACTACTGTTGAATCCTCCAAAATAGATGCGGAATCCTTTAATCAAGGCTTTATAAATGATGCTATTACCTTAGTTAATAATATGAGAAGCAGTGTTGTTGATCCTCTATCTTATTTATCATCCCACTGCACGGCTTCATCTCCATTAAATGTGTGTGCACCGTTGTCACAGATTGAAGTTAGGGATTCTTTTAAATCTTTAAAACCCAGCAAATGTAGAGACGCGTACGGCCTTAATTTTGAAATTATTAAATGTATCATCAACATTATTATTTCTCCACTAACATCGTTATTAAATCAATGTCTTCAATGCAGTACGTTTCCAGATGTCCTAAAATTAGCATGCGTTATTCCCCTTTATAAAAAGGGTGATATTAATGCACCTGCCAGCTATAGACCCATATCTATTTTACCTGTTTTTTCTAAAATATTTGAAGTCATTTTAAAAAATAGGATTGCTAAATTTATGGAAGAAAATAATTTTTTTTCTAGTAATCAATACGGTTTCAGGAAAGGTCTATCTACAACAACGGCGATACTTAATTACACCAGAGACGTAATACATAGCTTAGAGGCACGTAGGTTTTGCACGTCAATATTTGTCGACCAAACGAAAGCGTTTGATTTAGTGCCTCACAATGTACTGTTAGGAAAACTACAACTTTATAATTTTTCTCGTCAAAGCACACAGTTAATAGGGTCATATTTAAATAATCGTAAACAGTTTGTGCAATATAATAACATACAATCAAATTGTCGAAATATCACATTAGGGGTTCCGCAAGGTTCCATAATTGGACCTCTTTTATTTTTAATTTATGTAAATGACATCTACATGTCAGACCGGAATAGTATCTTCACGCTGTATGCCGATGATACAACCATCACAGTTACATCCACTGATCCTACTAAAAGTGAGGAACAAATTAATAATGCACTAACCGCGGTAAAAATGTGGACTACTGCCAATCGATTGGTAATAAACGATAGTAAGACACAAAAAATTCAATTTTCCTTAAGAAATATTGGTAGAAAAGACATAGCCTCCATTAATTTTCTAGGGGTGCAGATCGATGCCAGGCTTTCCTGGAGACAGCATGAAAATAAAGTTTGTGCAAAATTGGCATCTGTTGCGTATATGCTAAAACATTTGTCAAATTCAGTTTCTGTGAAGGTTCTAACATGCGTTTATTATAGCTTTGCACATTCTATCATTAGTTACGCCATCATTGCCTGGGGTCATTCTACAGGAATGAAAAGAACGCTTGCCATGCAAAGGCGCTGTGTGCGGAATATTGTAAATGCTGGCTACAGGGAGGACTGTCGCAATATCTTTAAATCGTTGCAAATTCTAACAGCTCCATCACAATACATTTTTGACTCAGTTTTGTCCGTTCATAGAAATAAATCAAATTATATAACGCATAAAAATGTTCATTCTTACAATACTCGGAACAAAAATCAAATATATAATGATAGATTACGATTAAAAACGTCGCAAGCGGCACATAATTATTGGGGCCCTGTGTTGTATAACCGTTTACCTTCTTGTTTCCAATCTCTAAATGAACAACTCTTTTCCAAGAAACTTAAAACTTTTTTACGCGAAAATCCAATATATAACATCCAAGAGTTTTTAGATAACGACCTCAAGACTTTAACGCCTTAAGTTTTTTTTTGTTGTTTGTATTTTTATTTTTTTTGTTTGTATGGTTTAATTGTTTTATTTCTAAATGATTTTTCATGTTATTTAATATTGTTCTATATGTCTCATGTATTTTATGTGTTTTATGTGTTATACGATTTCGACGGACGAGTGTAAGCATTTTTTAAATGTATTAACACAATAAATTACTTACAACTTAAGACCTTCTGCAGGGTCACCTTTAAAAAGCATTAGTCGGGTCACTCTGTAGCCTGTTGAGGGTCCAGAACCGGCTTTATGGTTCAGTGATAGAGCGTTGGACTATAAATCCGGAGGTTGGGTTTTCGAACATGGGTTGAGGTGAATTTTTCATCTGTGGCATAGATGGGAATTACCTTAGACCAGTTTCTAGCATTCTGCCGGCTACTCCGAATTAGGTTTTCCTGCAATTTTCCTAATTCGTAAGGTAAATACCGGAGTAGTATAGAACAACTTAAGACCTTCCGCAGAGGCACCTCTAAAAAGCATTATGCGCTTCACACTGTAATTGAGCGCAAGCCTGTTGAGGGCCCAGAACATGAGAGGGATAATAAATAAATAAATAAACAAGAGAGGATATAATAAATAAATAACTAAGTGATTCTTCATAGTTTAGAGATTGTTTTTTGTAAATTCCAGAAGGGCGCATTTTATGCAATAAACATTCTGATCTAGGGGTTTTAATCGTGATAATAGGCGCTTTCTTTCGGTGATCCAAACGCGTTTGGATTGTCAAATCACGTTCTTTCGAAATGTGATATTATAATCATGATTGCTAAAATCGTGAACAAACTGAACATAAAAGTTTTATGATCACGAATTCCTAACCTAGAAATGCAAAGATATTTTTGCTCAAATGTTAGGTTAGTCAATTTTCGTAACTGAAGAGGAGCATAATCGTGCAAGTACTTCCACTTGTATTTAAATTATGTTCATAATTCAAACAAAAAATACCTAATTCGAATGCAAATGTCTACTTCGTAAACTTAACCATACTTTGATTTAAATTCGCGCGTTCTTTCGTAAAACGTGATCCTATGAATCACGATTTTGAAATCACGATTGCGAAGTAGTCGAAAGAAAGCGCCTAATAACGACTCAATAACCTAGTTTTGAAATAGTCAAGCTAAGGAAACAAACAAAATTCCGTATTATAGTTTCTGAGGAATTTTTGAGGACGTATCTTCCATATGAGACATTTTGCAGGGTTATGTTTTTATATCCGGTTTTTTTTTGTTACACTTTGTATATTAAGTAGAGTGTATCGCGAAAAATTATCTATAAATTGTCAGCATTATTGATATAACGATAATATCGATATTTCCAGACTTGGACGGAGATATCGATATATAGGTAAGAATAGCCTGCCGAGATTATTGTTGATCATTAATGATAATATTATCATTAATTAGTTAATACTTACCATTGTCAAGGTGGATTGTTTCTCATGCTTTCGGGTTTTTGGCTTTAGATTCGTATTATTGTGCTATTTACGCTTTATTTATGTAAAAGATGTCATTCTATTTATTTATGAATCAATTTCGTTTTGAAAACGGCAAAACGCATTATATCTCAATGCCCAAGAAGTGAATGTCATTGATTGTTGGTAGACAAATGATCGAATCACTTCTTCAACTTCAATGTTTATAGTTTGAAAGCTTACTGTACATATTTTGTATATTAGCTGTAACCTGTACTGAATTTCCATCATCATGAAGCATTAATCAAGAGTCCCTGGTTTTCACGGTTTTACGAACGCAACACCCAAACGGAATGCTGGAATTTGCAACCCAAAACAGAAAGTAGCATTTCAAAATTTTGCGTTCCTTTTTTGCCTGCAGTACAGCTTATAAGTTATACCTACCTATGATACTAGGAAAATTAAAAAAGTTTACTTATAAAATATTTCATCTCCTCAATTATACTTACGGCGTCGGACAGACCCACAGAGAAGGTGGCCATCATTAACGCATTTCTACCTTTGTTGGAAAATATTCGAAAAGCACATTACTTATCCTTTAGTTGTCTTTCTCCCTTCCATATGACCGTTTTTTTGTTTAGCGCTGTTTTGATGTCGACTGTAAACGAAACACCGCAAACCAAGCCAGGCCATTTTGAATGGTCTGTTCTAATAAGCTTTGAGTCAAACTCATATTATGGCGCAAACCTAAGAGTATTGTAGAGAGCATTGTGGGTTGCCAATTTCAGTTGGTAGCCAATTGTGCACCAGCCCTTCCACTGTTACAGTTACCTTCATAAATTTTATAGAACAAATTCCACAATGATTTTGGAAACTTATTTTTGGAACAAGTAAAGTCAAAATAAATCATAACATCTAGGAATGGCATACAGTTAGTAGTACTAAGTACTCCTTGGCTCGCTTCTGTTATGGTAAATATGAGATAGATCCAAGGGCCGAACGCTTATATAAGAATTACCATACTTAATTAGTACAATAGGAAAAACAGTAACAGTGTTATTTTTAGTATTCAATGATATTATCTTGTTTGGTTTGCGTTTCCGTTTAACCAAGTAATCAGTAACAATTCAGTCGCTCAGATTCTCGGTTACACCACAGATTCTATTATGGTATAATTAATACATACCCGCTTTAAATTCCTAATAACCAAGACTTGGTGGCAATCTAGTGAGCAACTATTTAATCACATTAGATTATTGTTTCGGAGATAAAAAATAAAAATTGTATACCAGTGTTTATTATTTACACTAACATTTCGTCTGAGGAGCGATTGGTTAATAAAGTTATCATATACTGTGAGTTATCTCAATTGTAATGGTGATTTAAAACGGAATGTGTTAAAGTATTTGCTAATACTGATTGCAATTAAAAAATTAACGATGCTTCAATATCAGTTATGTCACTTGTAAAGCAAGTTCGCTTTGAGGATGTGTTAACTGCGGTGTGCACTTGGACTAGATCGCAGAACTAATTCCATTACTTTGTTACAGGAACTTGGATCTCAACCCCTACCTGTTATTTCCGGGGATGATTTGGAACAGCACACACTTACCAGGCCTCGCTCCGGCACTTGGGGCTCAAAATCGGATAGCAAGAAGGAGAAAGAGTCCGGCAAGAAAAAGGAACACAAGTCGAAAGCGGACTCGAAAAAAGAAATGAATGCGAGCCGCAGTGGATCCGCTTCTAGATCTAACTCGGCCGAACGTAGAAAGTCGGAGGATTTGCAAAGTCCGAAGAAGGCTGGGATGTTGGATGCTTTCCGCTCTCGATCGCATTCTGATGCGGCCAAAAAGAAATCAAGTATGCTGATGGCTACTATGCGAAATGCTATGGTGGTATGTTTCACTCTAGTCTCTTTTGTTGGCACAGCTGAAGTCATTCAATTATTACTAATACAATAGTCGCCTTATAACCGCAGTGCAATGTTGGTTGCCTATACGGCAGTTTTATCTACTGCTATTCCGATGATTCTAATCGAACTTTCTTATTTTGTTGCAGCATACTGGCTTAATGCATGCTAGACCTAAAACGCCTAGAGACGGATCCGCTCATCCGGTTAGAGATGATGGAAGTTCGCATACCCAGTATTACCACACCGTTACTGCCGCATCTACCAGTCGAAGTCCTATGACTAAAGTGATGGATATATTTAGGAACCGTTCGCATGCGAGTGTTCCTCCAGAAGACAGACGAAAGGTGAGTGGTTGATGTGTTGATTTAGTAACTTAAGTTATACAACAATATATATATTATTATGTGAGCGGTAAGTATGTAAATATTTGTTGTGCAACAGGAATCTGTAACAAAATTATCATGAGTTCCATGTAATGTCACAGATGGCTATAGTGTATTATCAAGCTTTTAAAATGATTCCAAAACGAGTTACATTGAGATTGAACTTAGATGGTACATTTTACTGCATATCGTAAACGATTCTGTAAGCTTTCAAATGCAGAGTGTATTGTGAAGTATTTGCGTATATGTAGCGTACATATTTAGTCTGTATGCTGTATTTCATTTTTGTCGCAATTCATTAAATTGGGAATTTTTGTTTTTACTTCTCTGTCTGCCTATTCATCACTAGGCGTTGCGTTGTGTCAATTACAGACTTACAGACTTTGCCAAGTAATGTTTTTGTACAGCAATTGAAAGTCATGTCGTCCGTCCATTTTGTGACTCAGATCATGGACGGCTACAAGATGTGGGCCATGTCGTCTGTGAGGTTTTTTTCGCTGGGTACATTATCAGAATCATGAAGAATATCAACACTATTTTATTTGTAACAATTACGTTCATTATTGACCCCTTTTTCTACATATTCGTCAGTCATAGCATTGTATATGGTCATAGTGTTGTACCAAAGAATTACAGATTTAGCTCAAGTGTTCTCACTTTTCATTAATGAAACCATCCCATAGAGGACAGCATCGATGAGATTACAGATTTGTGCAGCCAAGTTTGATGATAACTATGCGTTTCGCTGGTTAACGACGCACAATAAATCTTTCTAGTGGGTATTTCTTATCAGGGTTTATACAATCATGCTATCATTAGGAAATAACCAATAGACACGAAGGGTTATTATGCGTCGCTAACCAACGAAACCATACCTTTGTTTCTATTGGCTATTTCTTAATGATATATGACATAATGATAATGATTGTATAAACCTACCATAAAAGTCACTGGAAAAAAATCTTCTATCAAGGCTTTTATTTTACTGTTGTATTTTATCCAAAGCGACGACCAAGACAACGTTTGGCAAACCACTAACTAACTTAAGAAAAAAAATTTCAACCCTGCTTAGGTATATGCGAGGGTATATGCCATACTGGTAAGAATATTAGAATAATTTTTACAGGCATGCCCTATTCTATCAACAGTTTTACTCGAGGTTTTATTTGAATCCTTCTATGTATTGGTTTCTAAGACAAAAATGAAAGAAGAGACCTTAGAGCATGGATTTAACGAACGAAACACTGTGGACCTTTGGACCCTATTTTTTTATGTGAACAAAATAATCTTTTACTTAAATTCCAATCTCCAAAATGTGACCTCTCCCACACTTTCCTTGCCAAAATGGTCAAACGTATTGTATCTAAGGAAACAAAGTAATTTTATCCGTTTGAAGTTCAGAATGTTTCTTTGAGTTGTTGTATACTCCTTTTTGATATTGAAAAGTTAACTCCCTTATTTGTGGAGTGAAATTGAGTTAATTTCCAATTTTGTGAGAGAAACGATACTCGCTGGGTAAGATTAAATAGTACAGTTTTATGATACCCATACGTGTGTAGAAATAATTGCTCACGCATTAATTAACGGAAAAATCCAGGGAGAGCGGAGAATCTGAGATATTTATACCATGACTTGGTAGCAGCCAACCATGTGAAAAGTATTGTAGCGAATATTCCAGAAATCGCGATAAGCATCCAGGCGCCATGAATGATTAGAGATTTCTGCCGCTCCCTGTATTATTGTGGTTTGTTGGTGTTTTTGTTGTACTTTTGCTGGTCGTCATGGGTCTTTTTTTTTGATTTTTTATTAAGAATTCATTCATTTACAATAATTTTTAATGTTTTGTAGCTTTGTTATTAAGTAATTCATGGGTGTTTGTTAAAAAATGTTTATTTCGAAATGTGTAAAAGTGTATGGGATGTTTCATTTAAAAAATAGTATTTTGTTGAGTATCTTGAGTATCTGATGCTATTTTTTTCTACAGAGAAATAATCGAATTCCTACCCCCTATAACAACAAAATCAGCAATAGTTTTAGTTGGAAGACACATAGTCGTAAAAAATGTATAAAAATACTATCTCAAAGTGAGAGATTTGAACTATTTACCGTGAAAAGGGGTGCCAAAACGAGAATGTCATCTCCTCCTCGAAATCTATTGCTGTATGAAAGCGCAAATTTTTCAGAAAAATTAAAATTGACTATGTAACACGTTACTTTTGCTGAAACTAACGAAAACGAAATAAAAAAATCACGGGTATACGTTACACAATGACGATGTTTTAATTAGTAGACTGAGAAATTGTTCTCACATATCCGCATGAAAAAAAAACGTACTACCTCAAAGTCTAGGCTCACACTTTGAACTTGCGATGTACAATGGTAGTTATTAAGAAGTAGACATAAGGATTTACGTGTATTATTTTTCTCCATGTCTACTTTTAAATGACAAAATCTATTCTGAAAGGCGCCTAATTTTTATGCAACTAAAATAACTTCTTAAAACAATTTTCCGTATTTTTATTTTCGTTTGTGTGCGATATATTCAATTAAAAAAAAAGTTGATATTGTCAATTGATATAGTGCCGGTAACAGTTTAAGGAGCGTAAGCGATTTATTTTCTGTGAACTCAAAGCAAAAATAATCAAATTTATTAATATGACAGCAAGATCGTTACTTGTTTTAGAAGTTATTTTGGATACATAAAATTAGGCGCATGGGGATTAAACAATACATGTAAATCTCTATGTCTACTTCTTAATAAGTATCACTGTATATTTGTGGGTAGTGAAATTCATCGGTTCTAATTTCTTTAATTAATATCAATTTTGAACCAGTTAAAAATATTGCTGTTGTTTGCATGAGAAACAACAAGAATCTTTAAAAATGTGTTCACTAAAATTGTATGTACCTAATAATCAACATAGCAGTGAGAGCCAAAAATGCTAGTAAATGTCACATAATGCCACTAAATGCCAAATAAATGCCATAATACACTATATGTATAATGACATTAAATATTATTAATATCAGCGTAACGACAATAAAGTGTGTTGAGTAGTAAAAGGCAGCACAGTAAACATTTCTTTCCAAATAATTCAAGTGCGAAAAGTTTCGCCTGAGATTAGGTAACTTAAAAACGTGGCATTTGCATTTCTTTTTTAATGAGCTTGAAATTTTTCCCACTTACGCCTTTTTGGAATAAAAATTGGTAGTAAATCGCGAAGGAAAGGAGGTATTCAAAAACTTCATGAATGACAGACTTAAACGGCAATTTTTGCGCATTTCTAAAAATGAAAAACGCTTTGTCCACTGGGTTGTTACTGCTATACGTATCGTCAAAAGTTTTCTCCCTCGGTATATTCCAAATGGAATTGAAGGTTTCTTTACCATCTACACTTTGTATCTGGACTGGAAGACCGATTATGAAATATATACTCGATGAAAGGACTATTTTCCCTTTTCTATCTTTGACAATGACGCAATCAAAAAACATTCCATTTTTTCATTATTTGTAGGCAGGGCATTGTTTCCTGTTTGAGCTTTGAGCATTTTATTTGGAAAACTCAATGTTGGGACAAGGTGAAAGAAATCCCAATTCCCTTGTGTAAGAAATCTCCTTGACTCCTTCACGCTTCACGGAATCCTTTTGGATTTTCTTGGAATCTCTTATGTAGCTCTTTAAAGTTAGCAGAGGTGTATTTTGCTGTGATTTTCAATGACTAGATTGGTTTTTGTACACACCGAGGTACAAACCTCTACGCGCAACTTGCCTTCATTAATCATTAGTAAATATGTGAGGTTCATCAAATATAAAATACACTGTTGTCATCAAAAGTAAAAGAAATTGTATTGTTGAAAGTGCAACCTATACTTTTCACAAAGTGCTACAATGGGGACTTATTTGTTCACCTACTTCTCAACAAGCATAAGACATACAGCGCTGAGTGACTGGGTATAGGTAGGTACAAACATTTAGTGTAAGAAAAAGTCAAATCTTCTCCAAGACGATGGTCGTGGTGTTGACCAAATCTTCAAGTGGGAATTTTACGGCATCGTTGCGTTGAGATGCGTACGTCGACGGGAGCAAAACTTCAAATGTTTTTTTGTTATAGCAACCTGCCGTAATACATGCTAAACCTAAAACGCCCAAAGACGGATCAGCGCATCCAGTTAGAGAGGGAAGATCGCATACGCAGTATTACCACACCGTTACAGCCGCCTCGACCAGCCGAAGTCCTATGACTAAAGTAATGGACATATTTAGAAACCGTTCCCACGTGAGCGTTCCTCCAGAAGACAGACGAAAGGTAAGTTGTTTAATTTTGTATGGTATTCGGCTAGATTGTGAATTACTTGAGACCGAAGAGGAGACTCACAAAGGAAAAGTGGTAAGTCTGAGCGGTCCAGTATGTGTGCCATTATCATGAAACGAGGTGTGGGGGAGGGTACTCGCAAACGAAAAGTGGTATGTTTAGACTAGATGTATGTCAGTAGGCTCAAAAGTTAAAATGCGATTTGGAGGAGGATAGTCACGATCAGAATCGGTGGATGGAAGGCAGGTACCGTGAATAGTAAAAATGACAGATCTTGACAAAGTGCATTTGTCGATGATTGTCTGCTAGATTCAGTAGAACAAGCAAATAGAACTCACATTATAGTGTTATGCTTATGGTCCAACAGCTGATTAAAAACTGCTATTTACTAATTACGGAAACATCAAAACACCACTTACATACTTGTTGCGGAAGAACTAGTGATATAGTCTTCGTAGTTTATGGAAATCGTTCGTATGCGATTACTCCTCATATCATTTCCCGAGCAGCTTTGAGACACTGTGTTATGGATACGTGTTTTACTTGGAAAGAATGTTTTTGACTCCCTTTAGGCTTTAACTCTACCGTTTAAATTTTTTCTGACGTTAGTCTCTGTCTCTGTTGCATAATGTGTAGCTTTTCTTTCCGTTGACCTCATTACGCTTATAATAACTACGTGAAGAAGCATACAACTGTTGCACTTCAACACGTGGTTGAAGCGCATCTTGTAATTCATCATAGTATAATACACTAAAAGGCTCAATAAAATTATTACGCATTCACAACCTTACATTGTTTATTTGTGACTCAATTCAAAGACTCGGTCAAAGAGTAGCTGATTTTTTCGGGCAGTGTTAATGTGGAAATGCGCTTCTTGTAAATCGCTTACGATTACATTTTTAACTTGTTTTTACTTTGTGGAAATGCTCTAAAAATATCATTATTCTTAATGTTTTTTTTCATGCAACTGTTAGATCAATTGGATGAACATTAAATATATACATTTACGAGTAGAACTAACTGGTCATTAGTCTTTAATAGTTTGCCATAACATTAATAGTGGGTTATTTAGAACCTGATTTTGTAAGTAGTGATTCCCGCATATTACCCGTACCTGCCTATTAATCGCAATAAATGAAAAGGTTGCAGAAATTATTGCGAATTGTATACTTGGCAAATAAAATAGGACTAAAAACAGATCCCTGTGGGACACGTCCATATCTAAATTTTATTTTCATTCGAAATGTAAGAGAGTGGGTGCATGGTGGCGCAACTCTTTTCATCACCTAATTCAAAAGGTATTATATTCGCTTCCTTCAACTTCGGAAATGAAATGTTGAGTATAAGGAATGACCTCCGCGCCCACTAGTAGTAAATGTCGGAGCCTAAAAATAAACATTGATTGTAGCAAATAAGGACGCGGATTTCCGAAAATAAAGTTAAAAAACGGCTAACGGGCTTATAAATGTATTGTTAAGGTGTTGTTAGAATTAAAAAAAATATAAAAGGTTGACCTTAACCATTAAAGCTATTTAAACAGGCCCGTAACGTAATGATGTAACTTTGTATTAATTTGTAAGGACGTTAACCTGCTTGAAATTGGGTTAAATTCAAACAATAAGCAATGAAAATAACTTAATAATATTTTTTTTACCTTGAGTATTTGACCTTTCTCATTCGGATAGTAAGTGTTCAAATTTTCCAGGGCAATATCGGCCGCCGTCTTGTTACTACAAGGTTTTTTCTGTGTTATAAATATCGTGGGCTTTATTCGCCTTAATAATCAGTCGGCGAGAAATTGCATTTTTATTATACCTTCAGCTTTAATTAAAAAGGAAAACATTTATGAAAATATTGTTTTTAGAGGTAAGAACAAAAATTGATTAAAACCCAGCACATGTTTGTGTTAGTGGGGACCCGGATAGCGTACACGAAGAAGCGAGGAACATCAGGAATACACAAACGTTTCCATTTTCTTGATTTGTGCTAAACAATTATTCGGTACAAGACATGTACCAGAATGATCTCAACGTCTCATGGAATCTGAACTGAAAATCGGGAATTTCAGTACACTATTTGTATTTTTTTTTCATATCCTTCCGTTTTGAAGTAATCGCATGAAGTTCGTCAAAATATTGGTTTGTTTTGTCGCAGCAATGAGTTTTACATTCGGTAACTTCAACTTCAGGGGCATGTGTGTCAGGCACTCAGTTTCCAAACTATTTTATTTGTTGAGCACAAGATTTTTGATTAGCCGGAGCACGAAAAAAATTGCATAAATAAAACCGAAAAAGTATTATGTGCTATTGTAACGGACGGTTTAGTTTTGTTTTTTTCATGTTTAAAGATACCAACGTCTAGGTTCGATTCTCTTTTGTGTTTGAAGAAATGCAATTTTTAAGATTTTTGGATCGTAAAAGAAAAATTTGGGGCCTCTAGTTCATTTGCAAAAATTGTTTTGGTTTCACTACCAACTAGTTATTACACCCCCGAGAAATTGCATGCACATCTCAGGCAGCGTAACTAATTTGTTAATACCTACTTATTATTCCTGCAAAATAGTCAAAACAAGTAAGATTATGTAATTAATAATCATGTGGTGGGATAAACCAATCGGAAGATACAAAATTCTGAAAAATACTAATACAATTTGTTTATGTACCGCGAAATGTATGGGGGAAGGGGACGAGCGCATTTATTTAGATACATAAAATTGTATCTTAGTTGTAACCTTTCTGTTACTACAATATGTGCGTTTACTTACTGAAAGTAACAATATAAAAATGGTCGTGCAAGGGCCAACAGTGCATCTATAATCGGCAGTTTCCTATTGGTGCGATAATATTTTAACGCGATTGATAACGCAATGGGATTAAATTTGCGGTTTTTTTCTTTAGTTTAACGAAGCTTAACGACCGTTGATTACCTAATTAACCTTTGGGAAAACTGGTAAAAATGCTTTTGCCTGAACGCAATTTTCCTTTAAAAAAATTTGTCGCCTAATTTGCGAAATGTATGTCTTCCAATTAGCAAGTATCGTTTAGTCATGTCTTGTTGGGATTTTTTTGCGAATTCAAGGTCGTGACGATATTCGCTATTAATTATTATTGTTAAGCAATAAATGTTAGCCTTTCAATGCTTAGTGCAAACAGTTGCTGTATTTACTACAACTCTTGTTTACATGCGGTACATCCTCATTAGGGTACTCACTTCGTTTGATTTTGTTGCAACAATCAGTTTGATTAGTGTTGTTAATAATCATTTTAACTCGTCCGGATTTTTCATTTAATACACTGTGAGAAGGTCGCTTTCAAAATAGTCGTGAAATTGGAATAGTCTAAATGCGTGGAAGGTTGTTATAATACACTTGTTTTTTTTTTCCAAAATTATGTAAGCAAGTCGAAAAAAGCGAAGTGTTTGTTTTGCTGGTAATGTGGATGGGTCGCGCTTGGATAGTGTTTTTGAAGTATACCGATTATTTAACTATGTATAATAATTAATAACCAATTCCCTATGCGCTTCTATTTTTTGTGTTTACGTTAAATAACTTGTTAATTGTTTAAATTAGCACGAGATTGGCTGTTTGCGATCAGTTCTTATCTGGTGTGGTGACGTTGGTGGGTTATCCACTTTTTAAGAGTGACCTATATCTGGGTCACTTCTTTCCTGATAGAAAAAATGGCGACGAGCGATTTATTTTATTTTTAAGGGACTGTGGGATTTGCACTCAAAAGCAGGATATGGTGTGCATTTTGGGCCTAACATACGAGGGCTGGGTATTATTTTACAGGACTGATTTTTTTTACTCGATTACTACGCACAGTAGAACAATACCGCAAAAAGAGTAGTTACTCTAGTTTCTTTTGGCATGTAGAGAGTGGTTCAAATTCGTGGCTCACCATTGGTGAGAGATACAGTATATAGGTTAAATGGGGGCAAAGTTCTCTTTTTTGTGACTAAAAAACGAAGGTATTTGAAATTTTTCAAAAATCTTTGAAAATATTACCGAAGATGTCAAATTTCGTTTTCATTTTTCCTAGCTCTGCATCTAGTTTGTTATGGAAACGGCAACTGTTCATTTTTAACTACTTGATCTATAGGGAAAAGGAAAACGAAATTTGACATTTTCAGTTTTTTTGTGATCCTGCAGTTATAGTAAGATTTTTCAAAAGATTTAAATGCGTTTTTTAGTCACAAAAAGGGGCAACTTTGCCCCGATTTAACCTACGGGGTATCTCGCCGTTGCGGAGATTCCAATGGTAAGCCACGAATTTGAACTACCCCCTAATACCAAACGTCAGGATACTAGACTACTCGGCGTGTTGCGAGTCTATTGTTAAACAACGTCGCCGTATGGTGAATTTTGCTATAAAAAATATGGCAGCGAATCAATCTTAAATTTCAGGTTAAATTTGAAAAAACGATCATGGAATCTTATGAAATACTTTTCAAATGTTTTGTTTATGATTACTTTAGTATTAGGAGAGTAGGGGGGGGGGGGGGCACAAGAGCATCGTCGTGTCACACTATTTGTCAATTTTCCGGGGCGTTTGTTCTTCATTGCGGATCCTCAAAGTCTCTCCAAGTTTAGCAAATTCGATCAGTAATGGCACCTGATGATCGAAAAAAAAGGCAATTATACCTTTCCCGCGAAAATGACGACCTTTGCTTTCTTTGGGGGCGGTGAATTCGAATGTTTCGACTGTACGCGTTGCCGTCGTGTTTCAGACCTGTAGTTTCAATTGCAGACGCAAATTTGCCACATCATCATTTTGATACCGGATCAGATGCGTCAAAGCAGCGTCGAACCTCTCCGACTTCTGGGGTCGTTCCAAATTTTGGACACCCATTCAGCACTCAAAACTATCGATCATATATCATATAATAGGTGTGAACCGAACCGTGACTGATGTTCACACGCTTTGCCAGTTCATCGATGCATATCCTCCGTTATTGTCTAATTAGCTCATCAACCTGTCCAATTCTGTTCGGGG